GCCTTGGTGAGAGAAAACTACACTAGAGGTAGCATGGTAGAATTTTGCAGGACCAACAACTTATTCATTGCAGACATCTTTTTCAATAACATGGACCTCACCAGATGGACTACAACCTGACTACATCTGTGAGACGATGGAGAAGCTCCATATCACTAGCCAAAACAAAGCCAGGGGCTGACGGTGAGACAAACCATTAACCGTTTATATGTAAGTTCAGGCTGAAGCTGAAAAAAATTAAAACAAGTCCACAAGAGCCAAAATATGACCCTGAAATGTATCCCACCCGAATTTACAGATTTGGCGCATTGGACATTAATGACTGAAGACCAGGAGAGTTGTGGGATGACACCAAGAACATCGTACAAGAAAAAAAGCAAAAGATTATTAAAAAGACAGAAAACACCAACATGACTGTCAGAAGAGACCCTGAAACTTACTCTTGAATTCCAAACTGAATGGAAGAAATGTGAAAGTAAAAGAACTGAATAGAAAATTTCAAAGGGCAGCTAGAGAAGACCAAGTATTATAATGAAATCTACAAAAACCTGGAGTTAGAAAACCAAAAGGGAAAAACAAGCTCAGCATTTCTCAAGCTGTATTTCTTGAAGATAAAATTCCAGCCTCGAGTTGTATAGGATTCTTGGAAATCCTATACAGGGTTGCTATGAGTAGGAACTGACTCAACGGCACAACAACAATGGGCAAAATACTGAACCATGCAAGAAGCATCAAAAAATGGACGGAATACACAGAATCATGGTATAAAAAAGAATTGGCTGATACTCAACCATTTCAAGAGTTAGCATATATATGATCAAGAACCAATGGTACTGAAGAAAGATGTCCAAGTTGTATTGAAGGCACTGGAGAAAAACAAGGCTGCAGGATTTATGGAATACAAATTGAAATCTTTCAAAAAATTAACACAGCACTGGAGGCACTCAGTCATCTATGCCAAGAAATTTGGAAGATAACTACCTGGCCAATCAATTGGAAGAGATTCATATTTGTGCCCATTCCAAAGAACGGTGATCCAAAGGAAAGCAAAAATCATTGAACAGTATCATTAACATTACATGCAAGTACAATTTTGCTGAACAGAATTCAAAAACGGTTACAGCAGTACATCAATAGAGTGCTTCCAGAAATTCAAGCCACAGTAATAAGAGGACATAGATCTACGGATATCACTGCTGACATCAGATGGATTTTGGCTAAAAACAGACAATATCCGAAAGATGTTTACTTGTGCTTTATTGACTATGTGTGGATCATAACAAATTCTGGGTTATCATTGTGAAGGATGGGTATATTCCAGAACACTTCATTGTGCTCCTGAGGAACTTGTACCTAGATGCCATGATGTGAAACATTTTTCAGCATAACTTTCCTGGCCTTTCTTTCATCAATACACTTTTCAATTTTCTGAAAACTGTATTAGTAAGTCCCCTGTGTCCTTTGAGATAATCTATAAAGTTGACCCCTTTGGAATTTCAAAGAATAGTCACCATAACCTTCAGAACTGATGTGCCTTGAGTGAAGTCAGTGTTTTTAATAGACTTTTCTCAGCAACCACCATTGTTTTCTACAATTTTACATGTATCATTTTATATGCTGCCCAGCAATGGAAAGAGTTCCAATTCTCCCAGCCTTACCATCGCTTGTTACTTTGTTTTTAATCTTTAGTCATCCTACTAGGTAGAACCCGAGTTTTCAAAGCAGCAGACATGACTGCAGCAATGTCCAGCTGTAACCATGAGGCTGACAGACTCATATAGAGACCTCACCACACCTAGCAAAGCATCACCTCATACTAGTTATTTACAGACATTTGTATTTTCTGTTTTATCAAAGTTTTATGAAAGATTCCTTCTCATTCAATTACACCCGTAATTGTTGTTAAGTACTGTTGAATCCGTTCCAATTTAATAGCATTCCTAGATACAGTTTCCAAGGAACAGCTGGTGGGGTTGAACTGCTAAGCTTGTGGTTCGCAGTCCAGTGCTACATCGCCACACCAGGAATTCATACCCATAATGTTGTTGCTGTTAAGTGCCGTCGAGTCAGTTCCGAACCATAGCAACCCTGAACAGGATTTCCGAGGCTGTAAATCTTTATGGGAACAGAAAGCCTCATCTTTCTCCCGCAGAGCAGCTGGTAGTTTCGAACTGCTGACCTTGCAGTTCACAGCCATAATAGCCCTAGCATAATGCTTTGAACGTTAAAAAAAAAAAAAAAAGTTCATGAACACTGTTCTTTAAAAACCACTGAAATATTGACCTAAAACTACAAACAAATAAACTGATGTCTGGACACCTACTGAATTCTTAGTTTAGCTTATCCCCATGAAGCACAAAAAGCATTCTCATCTGGGGTCCACAAGCCCAGTGACTTCAGCAGCTAAGTGGTCCATTTTGGAGGAAGAGGGTCCACAGCACTTAACTTAACCCAGGGAAGCTTGAGAACTGTTTCTGTGTGCAGTGCAGACAAGTCTGAACAGGCAGCTTCAGGGGTGCCTGCTGACCACACTAAGGAACCCTCACTCTCACCTTTGAGGACAGAATCCTCCAAACGCTCAGCCATCTCATGGCACTGCTGCTGGTACTCAGGGCTGGAGAAGCAGTGTTTTGGTTCTGCAAGTTTCCGCTGCAGGCGTTCAAGGCGCTTCTGCTCCTTTTCAGCCTCGCGCTCAGCCTGTTGCTTTACCCACTCAGCCATTCTAGGGGTGGAGAAACAAGTGCCAATGAATGGATGTACTATGTATATGTTTTTTTAAAAAAAATGTTTTATTGTGAATTATGTGATAGTTTACATGGGAGAACATTAGTTTTACATTCATCCTATCCTACAGCGTTTCACTGCCATAGTTACAATCCCCTCCATGCATCACCAACCAACCAAGAGTATACCCTGGCAAGCCTGCCTCCCCGGTCATCAGCACACAGCCCCTCTCCCTCTCTGGTCTAAAGTCCCCAGCCGCTCCATCACTCCATGTCATCGTCTCTGCCTCTATCTCTGGCGTCACTGCTTCTCTGGTAGGGTTCCGCTCTCAGCTCTTCTCCCTTGATGGTCCCAGAGACCTCCACTCCTAGACTGCAAAGTTAATCACTCCCCTCCTTGCCATAAAACATCTACCTTTACATTTCTAACCCTCACAATCAGTCCTGATAACAATTATTCACTATTGTATCACAAGAGACCTATCCACATTTCCTTTCATCAGCCCCGCCTAGACAGATTGGATACTCACTCAGTGGAGATTCTACCACATCCTCTGGATCTAGATTCCCTCTTGAAAACTTGTAAGCCAGTCACTTCTTGCCTTTGAAGCCTCCCCATTTTTGGTAGCCAATGTCCAAGCTGCCCATCCGTCTACTCTGTGTATGGAAGGGTGGAAATGATCCCTGCTATAAAGATTTGTTCCCTCTTTTGAGCTACTGCATCCATAGGTGTAGGTCAAGTTCATCAAATTGTATCAGATTATTCTTTTTTTTCCCCTCTTCTTTCTTCTTCTAGTTGAGCTCTGATCATCCAATCATTGAAGCCAGGTCAAGTGGGTATTATCTGCAAGAGTGGGTGTTCTTGTGCATATGCCCTCTCTTCTTATCAGCTGGATACTTCAGTCTCCATTCTAGTCCTCTGTGGCTATGTGACTGACTCTGGACCCAAGAGTCCCCAAGTCTTGCCACACTGCTGGCCAGCCAGGTCTCTACCAGGGTTCATAGGAGTCTATTGAACACTGTAGGGCTTAGCTCGCAGCTTCATTGCTGTTTTTCCCTCACTTCCCCTTATCGGTGATGAACGTGGTCACCAATAACAGAGCATTATATTCTCATTGAGTCTCTGCATACGTTTTTATATATAAAACATCTACCCTCAATAAATTAATGTACTTTTGTTCAAATTGTACTATTTCCTCAGAATAGTGTGCCATGTTTACTGTAAGGGACACTTACTGTAACAGACTTAAAGGAAACCCAAGATAATTATCAAATGATGGCAAAGGTTAAATCCAGTATTAAATTGGAGTCTGGATATTTAGTATTTACATTTTAGATATACATGTTATTTTTAAGAGCTGTCGAGTCAATTCTAACTCATAGTGACCCTGTATAGGGTTTACGAGGAGCAACTGGTGGGTTTGACTTGCCACCCTTGCAGTTAGCAGTCCAGCGCTTATCCTATAGTGTCACACCAAGACCACTATTGCTAGGCAAGTATGTTTCTTTCTTTGAAAATACAAAAAAAGGGAGAGTGTCTTACGCTTTTTCGTGATTGACGTCTCGTAGTCTCCTTCCACTGAGATCCCGGCAGGCTTCTCGATTGGTTGTCTTTTCAATCTGAGCACCAAGTGCTCGTAGCATTGAACCAAAACCTGAGCAAATATATTTGGAAAACACTGGTTGAAAAGGGTTTGAAGATGGATAAAACTTGAATCTGTGAAACAGTATCATTATTACAAGATTAGGTGAATTTTCTCTCTCGCTCACTTTTTAAAAAAGGAGGTGTACCTCAAGGTCCTAATGCAGGAAGCAAAGATGAAAGAATAAATAAAATTGAGTCAATCGAATGTCTTTTGCCTTGTGTTTTAGCATTCTGAAATATTGTAGCTGCAGTGCTCAGGTTTCAGAGGGCTTTACCCAGTGCCAGAAATCCCAGGATTCCCCTTAAGAACCTGAAATGTGTATGCTAAGATTTTGCAATAAGTTAAAAGGAAAGACAATTTCAAGTTGTCACTGGCTGATATAGCAAGCTTCATTCTTACTGATAATTTCAAACAGTAGGACAATTACATTTTGAAATGTCAGCTCTCTGAAACCTACCAAATCACTGCATATCTGGGGAAAACTTAGGTATGGCATGTTACTACATCAGGAGAAACTGAAGGAGCTAATCATAGTGTTTTTACATTTTTACTTTCTTTTCTCTCTTTTTAGTTAACACAACCAAGCCCTTAATCCATGACACCTAAGAACAACAAAGGTGACTTTGGAGTCCTGGTGTTGATAAGCACTGAACTGCTAACTATAAAGTGAGTGGTTCAAATCTACCAGCTACTCTTTGGAAACCCTACACAGGGTCACCATGAGTCAGAACTGACTTGATGACACTTAACAATAACAACATGACTTCAGATCTACTTTGAAACTATGATAACTAATCAAAATCTTAGTAAAAGCAAAAGAAGGTTCTATTGTTTTATACTCTTCCTTCAGCAAACTATAAAGAATAATGGTCATCTCTCTTCATATAGTATTCCCCAAAGTGTTAGAGCCTGTGCTGCCTAGGAACTATCTGGTCAGAGAAGGTGGAAATTGTGCCACCTCAAAAAGAACAAAAGGAGAAATGTTTGGCATGAGGTGAGTAAATAGAGGATTTCACAGACAAAACAAGGTTGACATACAACAGAGACAGTTACACAGGTCTGACTAAAGTTCACAACTGTGTTACAAAGAAGCAGCAAGCATTCATTCCTACCTCCTTTTCCACCACAAAGTCTGGGTTCCAGACTGTAAACGGCTCCATGCTGCACAGCATCACTGGTGTTAATGAGTGCTCCATTGCATTTCACAAAGAAGTATTCCACTGGAACATCCTAGAGACAAGTTTGAGGTTTTTTTAAAAAACGCTTTTTGAGATATTACAAGTTTCTTGTAGAAAGGGCCCTACGTATCTTTTTATTATCAATAATTGAATATACAATGTGTATTCAATTAATATTTGTTTGGATTGAAAAGAAAAACTCAAAGAAAAAAGTAACTTCATATGATGTACTCTAAGCACATTTGTTTCCTAACATCTAATCAGAAAATGAAGAATCTTCAGTCTTCTGAGTGAAAGTAAAGACTACTTCTTTCTTGTCTGGTAGGAAATCTCAGTCAAGGTAAAGAGGGTACAGGGCTCAGCTCCAGTATCTCGGATACTCCAATTTCTCTAACTTTTTCACGCAAGTAAAATCAAGTTGAATGTCAAAAGTGGTCCTCAAATTTAAAACAGACAATATAATTCTAGAGCCCTGCTGGTATAGTGGGTTACACATTGGGTTGCTAACCCAACTGCCAAACCAGAAGTTCGAATCTACCAGCTACAACTCCACTGGAGAAAGATGAGGCTTTCTGCTCCCATAAAGATCTACAGCCTCAGAAACCATATACAGAGTTACTATGAGTAGGAACTGACTCAAAGGCACAAAACAGTATCATATATCCTTGCAATGAAATACAGATGGGTCTCCTGTGATACAATAGTGAATAATTGTTATCAGGACTGTTTGTGAGGGTCGGAAATGTAAAGGTGGATGTTTTATAGCAAGGAGGGGAGTGATTAACTTTTCAGTCTAGGAGCAGAGGTCCCTAGGACCATCAAGGGAGAAGAGCAGAGAGCGGGACCCTACCCAGAGAAGCAGTGATGCCTGAAATGGAGCCAGAGATGATGATGTGGAGCGATGGAGCAGCTGGAGACTTTAGATCCAGAGAGGGAGAGTGACTGTGTGCTGGGGATACGGGGGAAAGGATTGCATGGAGGGGATTGTAACCATGGCAATGAGACGATATACAATAGAATGAATGTAAGACTGATGTTCTCCCATGTAAACTATCACATAATTCACAATAAAATATTAAAAATAAATTAATTAATTAAATATATAAAAATAAAACTCACCAAGCATTTAAAATAAAGAAGTTGATACCCAAAACAAAAAACAGTATCATATATCCTGACAAGTGTTAGGTAGGGGTGGGGGTGAGTGGGACAGAGGAGACAAGAGTAGTCATTTTTTGCTTTTTATTTTTTATTGTGAATTGAGTGAAGGTTTACAGAGCAGATCATTAGTTTTAGATCCAATAATTCATATACATTTTGTTTCATCTCACTGATTGCAAAATTCCCTCAATGCACCATCACTTAGCTTACTTCCTGGGTTTTCTGTTTCCATTCCTCCATATTTCTGACCCTTCTGAACCTGTCCTCAGGTAAAAGCTGCCCTTCTGATCTCAAATGGTTGATTATTCTAAGGTGTGGGTATCTCACTAGTGTTACTATTCTCTTTATAGACCTATTATTTGGCTGAAAACTGAATCACAGCAGTGAGTTCAGTTCCAGACATGAAGGGTACCTAAAGGCCATACTCTCAGAGTTCCATCAGTCACTGTCCAACCAGAAGGTTAGGATTTTTAACACACACACATATATATAAGTTTAATATTTTTAGGACCAGTTAGCAGCCAATGTTTCTTTGTCTCTTCTGCTACCTTTCCCAAGTTTACAGTCAATCATTGCAGGAATACAAATACCCCCAAACACTCTCTATAATATTTCAAAAATTCTCAGCTCAAATGATGAAAAAAAACAAAACAAAAAAAAAAACAAACCCCAAACACCATAAGTCTTTTTACAAAAGTTTCTGATGCTGTGAAATAACAACAGGGAGTATTCATCAAAGTTATATGGAACCTAAAAGACACACAATTTCATCTACAATATCACAAGCAAAGAAGTGACCACACCAACAGGCACTGTAGGATAAAGCAATGGGCTGCAAGGTTGGTTTGAACTGCAAGATTGGTGGTTCAAACTCACAAGCTGTACTGTACTATACAAGGTCGCTGAGTTGGAACCAACTTGACCACACTTAACAACATTCTGAACAATTAGTCCTGAACCACATCATGACAGTGGTTTAAACTAACAAGCCTCTCCATGGGAGAAAGATGAGGCTGTCTACTTCTGGAACAATTCAGTCTTGAAAACCCTAGAGAGCGGTTTTACTCTGTCCAGTTGGGTCATGATGTGTTGGAATCAACTTGACAGCAGTGGTGGCACTATGAAGAAGCCCTGGTGGTGCTGTAGGATTAAGCATTGGACTGCCAATTGTAAGACCAGCAGTTCAAACTCACCAATCGCTCCTTTGGAGAAAGCAGACGCCATCTGCTCCTGCAAAGAACTACAGTCTCACAAACCCCATCTAGGGTCACTATGAATCAGACTCCACACGCAACAACACTGGATTTGAGTGAGGTTTTCATTTGTGGTGTTGTGGGAGAACGAAAAGGTACATCAGAGGTTCAAACCCAACAGCTGCTCCCCAGAATAAAGATGGGACTGCCTGCTCTGGTAGATTTCCAATCTCAGAAACTTTAAGGAGCAGTTTTACTCTATGCTATAGGGTTGCTATAAATTAAAATTAATTTGACAACAGTGAGGATTAACCTTGCAGTTGGTTTTGTCTGTGTCTGCTCTTCAGTCTGATGAACAGCAAGGCAGATTTTTACTTCCTCAGTGGGAGCGAATTAACTTTATAACAGTTTTGTTCTAGAAAGTGTAAGTGAGAATTTGAACTGTTTTTATTTGTTTCTGTAGCTGATCAAATATCCTTTTATAGGTTTTACGTTTCTATTCACATCTGTCCTGGTATGACACTGTAGGATAAGGAATGGACCACAAGGTCTGTTTGAATCTCAAGGGGAGAGGTTCAAACTCAGCAGCTGCTACTTGGAAACCATATGCAAGGTCGATATGAGTTGGAAGGGACTTGACAGCACGTGACAACATTACCATCTGTTACCGTCATGCTTCTAAAGTGCATGACTGAATCCACACATTTATGTCTTGTTATTTATTTTAAAATTCTTATTACCAAACATTTCTCATAATTATGATCTTATTCTTTTGGGGTCTTACTCTGGATCAATTGTTATTAAATCTGAAAACTGCAACTCATGAAATAAGTTATTTTCAGAGGTATTAAAATCAGACGTTCTTAGATCATATTTCCCTACTGAGTGTTTAGACTGGATTTCAGTGTCAGAAAACAAAGGAAGAAGCTGAAAAACCACATTTGCAAATACACATTTTTCATGGAAACAGTCTAAGTCTTTTAAAGATGTGGTTTAGATTGTATGTAGTATTAACATTTGTAAAGTTTATAAACAACAAGCAGAGGCAACAGCCTGGGAAGCATGGAAGAGGTGTGGTTATAAAGGAAAACAAGAGTACTAGCTTAAGAACCAAATTCAGATTTTAGCACACTACCAAATTCATTAGCTAACTGAACAAGCTTAATAACATAGAAGGTAAAAGCTTGCTTACTTGAAGATCAAGTAAAACTGTACTTTGGAAGTCCTTGACAGGTTTTTAAAAATATGTATGGACAAATGAAATCAAATGATTGGTGACAACAGCTAAATGACGGGCCCTAAGAAGTCATGCCCTCAACAGAACACGTGCGAGTCCTTGGTCCCGACAGTGACCCCATGAACTCATTCCTCTCACCAACCATCCTTTAGGCCTAGGTGTAGGTGGAATACACTCGTACTTCTCTAGGTTGAAACCAACACAGCTGCATGATTAGTAGACACAGTGCACGTCACATAGTATGAATGTACAGAAATGAACCTTAAAGTGCCTCATTTACAGATGAAAAAACAGAGGCCCAAAGTGTGTGTGTGACTCTAAGCGGATTTTTCTCGCCTTTATAGGAAGGAAAAACATCCACTATTTCAAAAGCAAACGAAATCCTCAGTATAAATTCGAAGCATTCTAAAACTACGGAATTCTCAAAAACACTGAAAACCCAAAGACTAGACTGTACCCCCGACAAACCCTTCCACATCCAGTCTGCCTCTTACCCCATCAAGGAGCCGGGATTCTCACCTGATCTTGGAAGTAACGGTGGATCAAATACCATATGGAACACCGAGCGGAGCCACACCGCACGGCCTTGCACCCGGAGCCTGGGCCGCGAATCCACACGAGCGCCGCAGATTCCGCCATTTCCCCAACACCAGAAGCCGGAGACGCGCCCAAACACTCGGCGCCACAACTAGTCCGGCGCGTCTTCATGACGTTCCCTCGTCTTCCAGAGCCCCACCCCTGACGTCTTCCGCTAGTTCCCGTCGTTCCCCTGGGGCCAATCACGTGACTCGGCCGCCTTGCCGCCTTGACTGGGGGAGGGGAACAGGAAGGGCCTGGCGGAGGCAGATAAGACTGCAGAACTCGAGGGCGAGGCGTTGCTAGGAGAAGTTGCTAGGGCGGGGCTCGAGGGACTCGCTATAAAAGGCTGGCCTGAGTTGGGTTTCGACTGTGCTGGCTGTAAGCGATAAGACTGTAACTAAGCACCGCCCTGTGCCGCAGTCTTTGGCCGTTTTCCTTACATCTGTGTAGTTATTTTTGGGTCTTGAGAATTGTGGCCTGAGAAAGCACTTCTCCCTGGGGGTGTGAAGGGAGAAGCTGCAGCCCCTGAGGTAATTTTGGAAGAGCTGCTTCCTCTGCTCTTTTGGGGAGCTTCTCTTCATGGGTTTCCAGAAGCCCCGCGACCTCGGGAAGGTCTTCAAACAACGCCCCTACCCCACCCCCCACCCTCCGGTTGTCGCCCCCAATCCCCAGGTTTACCAAGCATGCTCTTCCTTTCCAGAAGCAGCTAACTTCCCAGTTTCTGCCAGCTACCCTGTTTATTCTTATTTCTGTTTGCCTCTGCGTAATTTCCGCTTGAGCTCTGTTTTCAAAATATTTCACAGCAAGTGGGCCGTTGTGAAACGCAGTGGCTAGAGTGACTTTTATAGTAATGCTCCTTCAAAAAATCCTACCCTAACTTTTATTCTGCACCATGGAAATGCGTACAGATCCTCATAATACAACTTTTAGGTTCAAGGAATCTGAAGGAGTCCTTTAATATTTAATAGGCTGAGATTATGGTATTTCTAAAACTGTGAACAATTTAAAAGCCATTTGTGTTAAGATATTTGGAGTGCTGGTGTGGCACTGTAACAAGCACTTGACTGCTAATTGCAAGGTCTGCGGTTCAAACTCACAAGCCTCTCTCCTTGAAAACCTTCTGCAGGGTCTCCATGAGTTGGAACCAACTGAAGGACGTTGAACAAGTGTAAAGAAAGGGTATAAGGAGATATCTGCCCTCTAAACACAAATGTATTGGCCCACACAATTGCATTCTTTGTTGTTAAAATGACTGGCAATTGGAAGTCATTGCTGGAACACAACAAAAAAAATCAAACAAGTTTTCCTGCAGGAGGAAAGCTAAACTAGAAGTTCAAGGCCTGTGAAGTTACAGATGCTGTTGGTTTTGTTTTGCAAACACAGGAAAGAGAAATAGGAGAGAGGCCCTCAATAGGGATTCTAAAGACGGAGAAAAGGTTCAGAGAAAATAAAGACTATGTTGTTCCTGGAAAGCAGTGTTTTCCAAAGGGAGTGTCTTGGCCAGAGTGTCTCAGCAGGTATGTAGTGTGTAGTCAGAGATCCAGAAAGCTCTAGTAGCTATATTAAACTCCTAGCTCTCCATCCTCAGACTTCCTGGACGCTTAAACTGAGGACACGTGAGCCCTAAGCGTCTTCTGTTTGCTTATTGCGGTTTGTTCTTTCTGGGGTTTAAAAAGTAGTGGGGTGGGAGGAAGAGGGCGGTGGAGAGTATTTCAAGGGCCTGAGATCTTCCCCTACAAAGTTAACTAAGGATCAGTTTAAGATTGCATAGTGTTTGTGCTTAAGGCCAATGCTTTGTATCCTGCAACGACTAATTATTCTTTTATAAAAAGAGAAGCCGACATTGGTGTTACTATCATAGCTTCTTCTTGTGTGTGTCCAGTTGGGTCTGATTCATGTCCACCCTGTGTAGGGCTTCCAATGCTGTAAATCTTTGTGGGAGCAGAAAGCCCCATCTTCCTCCCATATAGCAACTGGTAGGCTTGAACTACCAGCCCTGGGATTAGCAGTCCAGTATTTATCCTATGGAGTCCTGGTGTGGTGCTGTGGGTTAATGCGCTGGACTGCAAAGTTGGTTTGAATCACAAGGTTGGTGGCTCAAGTTCATAAGCCGCTCTTCAGAAACCCTATACAGGTTCGCTATGGGTTGGAACCGACTCGACTGCACTTAACAAGAACAACAACTTGTCCTATAGAGCTACCACCATCCCCCAATATTATACTTGTTGTTGTTATTAGGTGCCATCTGGTCGATACCAACTCATAGCGACCTTGTGCACAGCAGAATGAAAACACTGCCCGACCCTTACTACTGTTGCCACTCTTGAGTCCATTGATGCTGCCACTTGGCCAATCCATCTCGTTGGGGGTCTTCCTCTCCTTCTTTGACCCTCCACCTTACCAAACATGATATCCTTCTCCAGTGACTGGTCCTTCCTGACAATATGTCCAAAGTATGAGAGATGAAGTTTGGTCATCTTGACCTCCAAGGAGCACTCTGGCAGCACTTATTCCGAAACAGATCTATTGGTTCTTTTGGCAGTCCATGGCACTTTTAGTATTGTCCTCCAACACCATAATTCAAAGGCATCAATTCTTCTACGGTCTTCCTTATTCACTGTCCAGCTTTCACATGCATATGAGGTTATTGAAAATACCATGGCTTGGTTCAGGCGCACCGAAGTCCTCAAACTCTGACATCTTTGCTCTTCAACACTTTACAAAGGTCTTGTGCATCGGATATGCCTAAGGCAATATGTCATTTGATTTCTTGACTGCTGCTTCCATGATTGTTGATGGTTGATCCAAGAAGAATGAAGTCCTTGACCACTTCAATCTTTTCTCTGTTGATAAGAATGTTGTTTATTGGTCCAGTGGTGAGGATTTTTGTTTTCTTTACATTGAGGTGTAATCCATACCAAAGACTGTGCTCTTTGATCTTCATCAGTAAATGTTTTAAGTCCTCTTCATTTTCAGCAAGCTAGGTTGTATTATCTGCATAGCTCAAGTTGTTAATGAGTCTTCCTCCAATCCTGATGCAACGTTTTTCTTCATATAACTCACCTTCTTGGATTATTTGCTTAGCATACAGGTTGAATTAGTCCTCTCCAAACCTGGAACTGTTCATTTTTTATTCCTTTGTGGCACTGAAATTCCTATACTTATATTTTCTCTCTGGTGGTGGTGGTGGTTATATGGCTTGGAGTCAGTTCCAAATCATAGTGACCCTGGATAGCCAAGTTGCCAAGGCTGTAAATCTTTATGGAATCAGAAAATCTCACCTTTTTCCTGTGGATCATCCAGTAGACTCAAACTTCTGACCTCATGGTTTGCAGCTCACTTTGTAATTTAATCTCTAGTACTAAATAAAAAAAAAATTCATTTAAAATATGAAACGACTATTGTTATTAACGTTTTAAAGATGCACATTTCCCTGAGCAATATATAATCCGTGTTTAAAATTTCACAATGAGCATCTAGCAACATGACATACACAGAGCAGATGTTAAAATTAATTGAATATTTGGTGAGTTATCAAGATAGTAAATCAAATTATTTTTAATTTGTACCTAAAAAACATATTTTGCACTAATACAATACTTTCCATCCTGAGGACTCAGAATTCAACTTGGATTAATGAGTTTCAAATTTGCTTAAATAATGAGAAAATTGAGGCACCTATAAGAGTTAGGGCTATGGTTTAAAACTGTCAACAAATAAGAATACATACTCTGTTAAAATAAAAGTAGAGATTTATTGAAGGTTCAAAACATGGAAACATGAATGTGGGCTATTTGGATTGGTTAGTTTAAATATATGACTGAGGAGTGTTGACAGGGTGATCCTATAGTAATTATCTTAAAACATTTCATGTCAAGACCCTTCTTTAGGAATATTCTTTTCATATCTTTAGTTTAACCACAGAGAAAAAAATGGTTCCTTTGTTATGTACTTAAGTCTGTCTGAAGGACTCCTAGTGTGGCACTGTAGGACAAGTTGGTTTGAACCACAAGGTTAGCAGTTCAAACTCACCAGCTGCTCCTCAGAAACCCTGTACAGGGTCACTATGGGTTGAAACTGACTCAAAGGCACTTAACAACAAGAACAAAGGTTGGACAGTTGCAAGAGAAAAGAGCAACAGCTAAGAGCATCAGGGTTCAGTCCTATCATTCTGATAGGAGTCAAGCACCTCAGTTTTAGAATTATCACACATTCCCTCTTTTTGATCAGGGATTTCAGTAATATCCTTTGAGCACTATTATATGAATGTTTTCTTCTGCAGGGGCCATCAATGATGACATACGATTCCTCAGATGACTACTTACTCAGGTAAATCTTGTTGTTTTTTTGTTTGTTTGTTTGTTTTTTAATGTTTTATTGTGAATTGTGTGATAGTTTACATGGGAAAACATTAGTTTTACATTCATCCTATGTATATTGTTTCATTGCCATGGTTACAATCCCCTCCATGCGTCATCAACGTAGGTAAGTCTTTTAGACTCCTGACAACACTATTTAGTAGTTGGACAACATCTGACCTCTTTTACCCTGCTTTGGCTTAGCATTCAGCTTTGGTACCTGTGATCAGCAAAGATAGGAAGGGGCACTGTCTTTGTGGAGTGAGGCCACAATAGAGGGACAGCTTGACTGTGGAAAAATCTGCCTCAGGGTATGAGTTCAAGCCCATTTGGGAATTGAGTCTCATCTATGTACAAATTTCTGGTCATAGACATTAAATTGGCCTTTTACATCATAACATTGGTTATAATTTCATGCAACATTTGGTTGTTGTTGTTGTTATGTGCCATGGAGTCAGTTCTGACTCATAGCGACCCTGTACAGGGTTTCTGAGGCTATAAATCTTTACAGGAGCAGAAAGCCTCATCATTTGGTTAGTACAATAATTACTGCCATAACAATTAACATCATTAATCCAGTTAGCAATACAGATCTAAACCAGGATACAATACCATTAGGCAATCAGCTGAAATTTTCAAAACAAGAGGATTCAGATTCTAAGGCTTTTATTTGTAACCAGATAGCTTTTGACAATTTTTAAAAAATATCTT